GGAGCCCGGGCGCTGCCCGGCTGGGGTCGGGGGTGGAGCCCGGGCGCCCCTGACCACGCCCCTGCGGGCTCCTACTGTGTGTCCTACTCCTGAATCTTGGGGACACCGGGGAACTTGAGCATCTCCCCCTTCCCGTCCCGGGCCCTACCACCGCCACAAAACGAAGTCCTGTTTCCTCGCCTCCTGCGGTTATGCTATTAGGAATTTCCTCCCCTTTTTGTAGTCTCTAGGATCTTTTTCCTTCTGGAGAAAGGACGAAAGTTATACAGGTGTACAGGACTTTCGTTCATAGGGTCGCTATGAGTCTCCTGCGACTCGACGGCACATAACAAGAAGATCTTTTTAAACATTAACTGCTAATCCGCAGAACAGTACACTGTCCTCATCCTGTCCATTTACGGCTTATTAAACAGCAGCCCCTTTCTCTTCTGAATTATTCATAAATATAGATGGATATATAATATCCTTTTGTGTCTCTTTGTAGTAATTGTCACGCGTTGATCTCTTGTGTTTGTTTTCTTCTGTAAGCCTGTGTCAGGAATTGTCAGTCATTTGATTGAATGCTTAAGGCCTCGGGAAAAGACTGGAGAACTAAGGTAAATAGAAAGCTGCTTATTCCCAACCTTTTAACGACCATGCAAACCTACCTCCTCCATTTAATTTCCTTGTTTCCTTTTTTGCTCATTCTCCAGCCAAAATGAACCACTCTTTGTTTCTTCCACAGTTAGTCACTGAAGTTCCAGGTGTGTTTTTTTATTTCGTATTCACATTTTAGTTATCCTTGGAGAGGTTTCCAGATTCTCTCCAGCAGGAAGTCATTTCCACTAAGCTTACCAGCACTTTTTGTACCACTTTTATCACAAGGATTACTTTATTGTATAACAGTTGCTTATGTTCTTAGTTTCACTATGGTTACTCACAAGTAGAATAGTTGGTACCACGTTTGTCTGCCTATTTTTTCCAAGTTTATTTTTCTTTTCATTAATTACAATTTAATTGATAGTGTCTGATCAATGCTTGGTTGTATAGTAAGTACCTTTGTCGTTGTCACTCAACTTGCCTATTTCATTTTACTCCCCAGTGAGTGCCTTCCCATCTCTGGCAGTCATATTTGCCTATTATTTTTGTCCTATCTGTGACATTTTGGTAAACATTCACTGAGATATCTAATATATTGGTGTGTGTACTGCTGTCAGAACTGACCCATAGCTGATCCTCCAGCATATTTTCAGAGGCAGTAAATCACATAGGAAGAGACTGTCCATCTTTCTCCTGCAGAGCAGCTATTGAATTTGAACCTCATACCTTTTCGGTGGCAGTGCAGTTCCTTACTACTAAGTCACAAAGCTCCAAATTTTACTGATGTCAACTTAGTTTCATTAATTTCAACCCCTGGCACCCTGCAGGCTGTTGTTGAAAGATGTGTGGGCCCTGCAGTTCAATACAGATGAATCTTGATGTTATTGAACAGATTCCATGGGATCACCACACTCCTATTTAGGCAGTGTTGTTTTTCTCTCTGAAATTCTCTTGCACTCTTAATTGGTCTTAGTGCTTTTGTGATGCCATCTTGGTAGCATAAAGCAGAAGCCTGTTAAAACTTGCAAAATCAAGGTTATGTTTAGCATTTAATCAGTTAGGAGCATTCCCTGTCCAGTGGATAGAGAGGCATTTGGGGAACTTATAATCACAGGAGAACTCCCCAAGAATGAGATTCCTGGCCTAGATTTGCATTTCATCATGAAAAAAAATAAGTGAAAGGGTTAAAAAAACATACCAGGGAGCCAGGTAGGATGTTGCCAGTTAAATAATGCACTACATCCGCCGCTGCTTTTATGTAGAAAGTGGTTTACTTGGTGGGGGTGACTATCAAACACTTTGGCTTCAGATTCAAGTAAGGCAAAAGAATGTACCAATTACAACCATAGGATTTGGAATCAGATTGGTTCTCAGTTCCAAGAACCATACTATTCACTAGCTTGGTGGCCTGGAACCTCGGTCTTCTCTTTTCATCACCTATTAAATTAGAAGCTATAAAGTCTCTAAAATTGTTGAAGAAGAATGAATTCAAACATACGTGCTTTTGCTAACACCAACATTAAGGCATACCACAACCAGTGGCATCATCCAAATTTACCCAAGAACATTTCCTGGTTCTTAAAAGCCTAAGCACATTTCAAAAGCTAGATAATGTGCATTTTATTTACGTGAGTCTGAATTAATTAGTCAAACTGGACATGTTGCAACATTCTTCTACCAGCAGATGCAAGATAAAAAAACAAGAGAATCTACAGTAGTTTCCAAATCTCTGATATATAATGTTACTTGGCATCTATCTATAGGTGAATATTATCACCCATATTAGGCACTCTGCTGGTGTGGGGGCAGTTGCCTGAGAATGAATACAGCAAGTCCCTGGGTTAAGCATGTCTGACTTTCTAACAACTTATACTTTCCCTGTGTTGTGTAAATTAGCCCTCACTTTGAAACACTTGAGCCAGCCACTCCTCTCAGCAAATTTGCACATCTTCATATGCAGTTTTTAAATCGTTAAAAAGGCTTTGAGCCTTTTCTTGCACTAAAATAAGGCTAAATAACCTTGTACACTTACTTACATATTTCAGTCTGCCTGTATTTCTACTTCCTGCCTGCTAAATAACACTTTTCTTCCTGGGCGCCCTTATCTTTTTCCTAGGTTAGTTTATACTTAGAAATACTTACCTGTCAGTTAACCACAAGTCTTGAATAAAACATTTTTTATCATTGTTCCTACTGTTCCTGCCACTCTACCCTACCTCCACACTAGATGGATTAACCTTACTTAAATGTGTCCCTTAACCTCCTTTATATAAACAGGACTGCTCCTGGTACCTCTTCAGTTCCCAGAAATTGTATTTTTTGCTTCTTAGTGCTTATTAATGATAAAAATAAGACTGATACACTTTTTATATTGTTGTAACAGCTGTATTTTACTGAAATTGCAGAGTTAAGTGTCTGTCAAGGTATCAGGTAATTAAAGAGGTAAAGGGAAGCAAGAGGTTGTAGTGGGAGTGGAGAACTCAGAGCTCATTGAAATGGGACATCATTTCTCAGCCCCACCAGACTTTGCCACATGGTGTGGGCCTTGTGTTGCCAGACTCATTAAAAAGAGCTGTAATTTTTATCTTACGTGAAATCTCCTGATTATTACACATTGGTGCAAATACATTTTAAACTCTAGCAAGCCAAACAAAACATATACAGCTGTGAAAGACCGAGGACCACCAATTTATGACCTGCATCCCTCTTGTATGAAAACATGATTGTACTTTGGTTGCAGATCAGAGTGCTTTCAAAATGTTTCTTCTTCTATATTTCAGGATCTTTTTCTAGTTTAAAGCAACAAATTAGCTGTCACTTCCATCAGAAATTCAAGTGAGATTTTTAAGTAAACCAAGCTTTCCATCTTATTTCCTTGATTATAATTTTAAAGGGTTTTTTGTGCACTTTAAATATTTTCCACATTTTCTCAACCTTGCTTTATATTATGAAATATGCTTGCTTTATCACCACATTTAGGAAACCTTTTTAAGAACACAATTTACATCTTCTTTAAAAGTAGAAGTAAAACAAGTTTGTAAAAGAAAACACTTAAAAAACCATACTGTCTTAAAGAAACTGAGATGTGAGCATTCTGAAGACTTAGAAAGTAGCTTAATAGTAATATAAAATAAATCCTTTATTATAGAGTTAAACATGGATAATAAATGTTATACTGTGTTTTTAAGCATTTTCACCTTTTTTTTTTTACTTCAGCCTTGCAACACTTATCAGATACTAAACCTGTTTCTTATGAGGACATCAGAGCCCTGATTAGTTGAGAAATCCATTCAAACTTAAAATTAATTATTAAAGACAGAGTAGTGTAGAGCCTTGTGCCTCATTTAAATAGATCAGGAAAACAAAGCTTCCAGGTCTCCTTAATGTTTTATTCAGAAAGAATGTAGACTTTACTAATTTCAAAATTATGTGTAAACTAATTTTAATACCTTTGAATGTGGAGCTGATTGGAATAATATTGAATATACCATGGACGGGCAAAAAACCAGATCAGTCTTGGAAGAGTGCAACTAGAATGTTCTTTAGGCTCAAACATAATGAGAC